TTTGTCTGGTGGAACACTGTTTGGACCAGGAAGTGAAAGTTTATGCATAAAGGTAACCATCACCTCGTCTTGATCAGAGATGCCAATTTTGAGTCAGGAAACTAAGAGTTAAAAGGCATAAAATCTAACCACAGACTTGTCATGTGTTTGAGTTTTCTCTTCCTAATCGAATATTGAAAAGATTAGTTTCATTTCCATTTTTGCCTTTAAAGGTCCTCAGCTCCAAAAGAGTGTTGAGATTTATAGTTATAGTAAATTTATAATAATTTGGTACATATAAACTAAATCAAATTATATATTAAACTTATGTCCACGGGTCTCAGATGCTTCCATCCAACTACTGCCTAACTCTTGGAAGTCTCTAAATTGCTCCCACACTAAGTGAGAAATTAACTCCTTAGCACTTACGTAAGCAGAGAGACTATTTTTACATGGATCTGTTGATGCCTGGAAAGAAAGAATCATAGGACAGAATACATTTCAATTCAGAGGACTTTATCAAACCACAGCAGGATGTACAAGAGTCCTGCATTTATATCTAAAACATCAGATGTGTAAATTGTGTAACTCATTCATTAAAATTTACTTTCAAATATTAATAGTACTTAAATCATTCTTCTCATAGACCTACTTCACACATACCAGGCATAACCTATTCACTCAAATATGTTTATACAGCTGTAAAATCCTCAAATTAACTATCAAATCAGGAAAAATAAAAAAACATTGTTCTGACAATGAGGAGATGAGATTTAAGTTAGAAAAAAAATTACCCAGGGCTTTCCTGGGACACAGCTTTGGATGGGACTGAGTTTCATTGATGGTATTTTTAAGGGTAATTCTGTTTCAGCATATGCATAGTTTCACTGACTCGAAGACAGTATTGACCAACTCATCTGACTGCCCCGTGATTGTTCCAAACTTCCAAACACCAAGGTGGAATATGGTTGTAAACACACACATACAGGCATGCATGCACACCCACAAAAGCAGACAAGATTGTCCAGATTACTCATATCCAATTTAAAAGCCCCCTCTTTTTTTCCTATGTGAAATAGTCACTGTAATCCTAACTACCTGGGGCTTAGTGATTCCGTTATCATTCAAGTTTACATTTAACAATAATAAATTATATGATACGATCTCTTACATCTTCTCTGTTTAGGAACAAAAATTGGATGGAAAACTATTCATCTGACAAAATTATACTGACAAACAATAACATCCATGAACACACTGACCATTTAGCTTTTTAATTAAAAAAAAGGCTCCTCCAAGAAGTATGAAAGCTAGCCATGTTAGTATTTTATAGATAGTCAGGCATATGCTATTATTAATTTAAGCTGAATAACACGGGCAATTGGTTGTGAAATATGTAAATGGTGCCAAGGACCCAGAAGGCAGTTCAGTCAAAAGCAATCAGGTCAGCTTCTAACTTACAGGAAATTTGATGTTTTGAGCATGGAGAGTGAGGTCATAGTGGGTATTTTTAAACACATACTTGTTCAAGTAACAAAGTTAAGTTTTCATACCAAAATATATTTATCATAAACAGAATACCTTTTAGCTTTGTATTCAATTAAACAAAATGGCTTAGGGTCAAAAAAGTATTTCAAGTTTAATAAATCTCGCTGCAATTCACTTAACTTTGAACAGAAAATTCCCCTAGTTTCTTTTATAATTTATAGTTTTATGATAAAAATTACATAATATTAAAATAAATATTTCAAAAGGAAAGTAGCTCTAAAAATTCTGACCCATAAATGTTCTCAACCTTACATATTATCATAGAGATTTGGGGGAAATGCATATATATTGCCAAATAGCAGCTTTCATGGTAAACATGAGCATTTATCAAGTATTTTCTTCTTGTTAATCTAAAGTTTCTATCAGGATCTCTTAATTTTCACACAGGGAAAAGAGAATATTTATCAAGAGCATTTTTGTGCAATGATCGATTGAAGGTATATACATAATTATTAATCTTCATATAGACAAGAAAAATATTGCTCAGACATGTCCAATTCAGAAAGGGCAAAAAGTTGAAAAAGATTATCTGGCTATGGTGGCATGTGCCTGTATCTCAGCTACTAGGGAAACTGAGGTAGGAGGATCTCTTGAGCCCTGAAGTTCAAGGTTACAGCAAGCTATCATGACACCACTGTACTTTACCTAGGATGACAGAGCAAGACTCTGTCTCAAAATAAAAATAAATAAATAATAAAACTAGAACCCAAGGAAAATAAACATAATATCCACGTCTTCGAACTAGAGGCTGATGCTTTGAGGCTGTATTACACTCGACAGTCTAATAATGACAGTTCTCTATTCGGGGATCTTTGATTTTGTTTTTAAAAGCAAAAACTTGGCCGGGCCTGTGATCCTAGCATTTTGAGAAACTAAGGTGGGAGGACTGGTTGAGGTGAGGAGTTCCAGACCAGACTGAGCAAGGGGAAGACCAAAAAAAGAGAAAGTATCCAGTCATGGTGGTGCATGCCTTTAGTTCCAGCTACTTGGGTGGCTGAGGTGGGGGGATCCCTTGAGCCAAGGAGTCTGAGGCTGCAGTGAGCCATGATGGTGCACTGCCCTCTAGCTGGGACAGCAGAGCAAGACCTTGGCCCAAAACAAACAACAGAGTAAAGCCTTACCTAACAGACCCAAACCAGAAGACTGTACACTAGCCTTAACAGGACTGTTTCATCTTTATTACTACGGAGACGTCAGCTGACCTTAACTGAGGCAGTGGGCTCTCTGTCCTCGATAATGAGCAATATTAACACTACAAGTACGCAAGTACGGGTTTCAGCACCAGGGCCAGGTGAAGGAAGCCAATGCTCTCAAGAGAGTCTTGGCACAGCAATTTTTTTCAATTGTTTTCTTTCCATTAATTATTTTACAGTAAGCTTTCTATACAAATGGTCTCCTATCAGGCATTATGATTTTTGGTTGTTCTTGTTGTTTGTTTGTTTGTTTAGAAACAGAGTCTCACTTTGTTTCCCTCAGTACAGTACTGTGGGGTCACAGCTCACACCAGCCTCTTGGGCTTAGGCGATTCTCTCGCCTTAGCCTCCCGAGTAGCTGGCACTGCAAGCACCCGCCACAACGCCCGGCTATTTTTTTGTTGTAGTTTGGCCAGACTGGGTTTGAACCCGCCACCCTCGGTATATGAGGACGGCACCCTCACTCACTGAGCCACAGCCACCATCCAGGCATTTTTTTTTCACCAAGATACTGAAGCAGTGGCCAGCGACACTACAGTGGAAATCATAGAAGAATCGGTGTCCTAGCCTTGACCTTGACATGCAGCATTTCATACAGAGTCTCTTTACGTCTGTGTTACCCATAGGGAGCCAGAATGAGAGCACTAGACTTTGAACAAAGATGTCTATGTCAAGTCTGGCTTGGTCACTTAACTAGCAGGGCAATGTAATCACTCAAGTGTCTGCATCCCTTCCATGGAGAAAGAATAAAATAATCCAGTGGTTACCAAACTTGGTTGCACATTAAAATAACCGGGGAGATTCTTAAAAATTCCAATTCCCAGGTTTCATTCCATTCTGAATGAAATCAGAATGTTCAGTGATAGAGTCAGGTCATAGCAGTTTTTTTTTTTCTTTTTTTTTTTTGAAGATGCTCAAGTAATTCCAATGTGCAGCAAATTTACAAAGCTACTGAATTAATACCTTCACAGAGATGCCTTTAAGATTTAAAAAATAAGGGTGAGGTTTTGTATGTTATATAATACTGTACAGAATGATACATAATATCCCAAAACTAAGTACGATCCTGATACACACAAACAAAAGAATCAATTTTAGCCTTTTTTTGTCAGAGTTGCAGAAATAGTTTAACAGTTGCTTTCTGCATTCACTGTCTTCAACATTATCTTAGACTGATTTTTTTATTCCTTTTCAATCTCTATTAAAGATGTTTAAAGTATCATCTGTTTTGTTTTCCTCTAAAAGTAGCAAACATCCTTCTTTTGTCTGGTGTTTATAATAACTAGAAAAGAATATTAGAATATGTCCATCGATCCACGAATGGATCAACAAACTGTGGTATATGTACACCATGGAATACTATGCAGCCATTAAGAAGGACGGAGACTTTACATCCTTCATGTTCACATGAATGGAGCTGGAGAATGTTCTTCTGAGCAGAGTATCATAAGAATGGAGGAAAAAGTATCCAATGTAAATACCCCTATTATGAAACTAATTTATACCTTTTATATGAAAGCTATAACCTAATAACAACCTAAAGATATGGGGAAGGAGGAGGAAGGGGGAATAGGTGGAGGGAGGGGGATTCAAAGGTTCACTTCTGTGGTTTATCTTACAAGGGTACAAGTGAATCTTTCTATGAGTAGATTATGAACATTTTAACACAATAACTAAGAAAATTACATGAAGGCTATGTTAACCAGTTTGATGGAAGTGTTTCAGATTGTTTGTGAAAACACCACACTGTACCCCAGAAGTGCATTAATGTACACAGTTACTATTCAATAAAAAAAAAAGAATATTAGAATAAATTTGCAGAAAAGAAATTTGAGCAATCAGAAATAAAATAATTTGTCCAACATTAATTAGCTCGATGCTACTACTTATTTAAAACAGACAAAAAATTACACTTTAGATATATTATTCTAATTTTCTTCCATAATATTTTTGAAAACAAAGACCTATTCAATAACTCTTTCTTGGCTAGATTGCCTAATGATACAATATTTCTCTCCTACGTTTTAATCAATGCATCAAATTCATACAGTTTATACATAAGCTTTTATTTAATTAGACTTACAAAAATAATTACATAATTTCTGTAATTAGAGTCCTAATAACATGGTACCTAATTAGAAAGCGCCCTCTGTGCTTTGCTGTTCCTGCAGACCTGGACGCATCCATTCACAACAAGCTCCCAAACTACACTCAACTCATAAGCAACTACAGATGTCATCTTCTACCTAGCAATGATTCACGCCCTGGGATCGTTTTTACCTTCGTGGGCTTGTTAGCGTCCACGCTCTCTTTAAATTTCTCCTGCATAGTTTCTGCAAGTTGACAAAGCAAGGCACCATTATCCAACTTCTCCATAAAAGTCTCCGCTGTAATCTCCTTCCCTGAAACAATGAAATGATGCATTATAAAGGCGTGGTCATTTCCTAACACAAATGTCAGATTCACACTAAATAACACACTGCACACAATTTTTATCACTAAAATTTCTATTCCAGCCGAGTTACGTATCTGGAATAGAAACTTACTGGGAAGAATTATTTCTTTGGAATTATATGTTTTCTTTTGGTTGCAAGAATCTCAACAATTTACATTTTCATCGTGTAGTTCTAACTGCATAAACATTTTATTGCACATAATAGGTGATAAAATGATATCCTGGGTGAAACTTTTCATCACTCAGTAATAAGGCAAATGAAGACCAAGCAGTTCATGTAACCAGCTTTACCAGTGATAATCCAGTTTGACCTGTGATTCATTCAATTGTCATCCTCAGTGGCCCATTCAATTACTCTGACCCACAAGGCAGGAGAGAAAGTAGGACAGGTTTCTTGAGTTTATCCTATGTCTGATTACAAGAACACCATATTTTTTTCTTCAACTTAAAATAGAACAATAAAATTAACCACCATTGGCAACTTTAATACCATGGCCAGCACCGGGTATGGCAGCTAACGCCTGTAATCCTAGCACTTGGATTGCTTGAGCTCATGGGTTCAAGCCCAGCCTGAGCAAGAGCAAGACCTCATCTTGAAAAATAGCTGGGTGTCATGACAGGCACCTGTAATCCCAGCTACTTGGGAGGCTGAGGCAAAAGAATCACTTAAGCCCAAGAGTTTGACGTTGCTGTGAGCTGTGACACTATGGCACTCTACCCAGGGTGACAAAGTAACCCCAGAAAGAGATTCTCTCAGTGCATCTCAATCTCTTTTCTCTATTGCTATACTCATGAATATCACTTATTTTGGCACTTATCAAACATTTTCTTCTACTGCTAGTAAAAGGTGTTATATAAAGCTCTTGTCTTCTTCAAAATGTTAAAAAACTCTTTAGGTACATATATATATATATATATATATATATTTTCTTCTCTAAAGGTAAGCATAATATTCATATAGCAGATTTCTAGCACATGTGTTCAGTGAGCGTGTGAATTAACAAATGAAGAAATCAACTCCTGGAACATTTTGAGGAAACATTAGGTGTTATTTTTGTAACATGCAGTTAAGTTAAAAGGAAAAAAAAAATTGAGGAAGTATTTTAAAACTTTATACTGAGACCCTCACAGACTTATCTGTTATCTTAAGAAAAATGTGCATGTGACCTTTATTCAGGAAGCTTGCTACTTATCTGTGCATTGTCACCATTAGGTGGGAACTTATCAAACCTCCTCTTCCCTCCCCCTTCTTAAATTTAATTGAGTTTTTCTCTTCCATGTGCACTTGTTGTTAATTTACAAATTTCAACTTAGTATGGAGTACATGGGATGCGACAACTTGAACTTTACCTCATAAACAAAACAATGTAACCAAATCGTATGTACCCTCCTATTAATCTGAAATGAAAGAAAAAAAATATTTTTTACATCTAACTCCAAAAATAAAGAAAAATGCATGTAGCTCACTTAAATGAATACTTAAATGCAATCCAACTGGAGAGCCATATAAACTACTCACAAGTTAAACTTGCAATATGTAATATATTTGGATTTTAAGAAACATCTGTTTAAAGTGATTTTCTGCCCTTAGAGGGAAGGATGGGTACAAAGAGAAAAAGAGTCACTTTTTTAAATGTCATTCTTTTTTCCCCTCCTGGATAGTTCACAGTTTAGCCCCCAATTAGGATAATGATTTCTGCAGGTGGAAAAACTTCAGTAGCTCTAAGTACTCACCACACAGGTAGCCTGTGCAGAACTGCTTTTATTTCAAAATTGTATGCAGCTAAACTCAATTCAGAAATGAGAGTAGCAGTCTCAAGCTACAAAAAGCCAGTATGACAGAGTTTATCATGCATTCTTCCTGAATTTGCCAACAGGTACGAAAAATAAATATTGCAAATGGGTTTTTTTATATCATGATTTTTCAAACGTGTTTACATTTCGAGATCCAGAAGGTAAGCTTTAAGTTGTTGGATTATTCCTTTACAAATTGCTGAAACAATTTTCTACATTTGCAAGAGATCTTTAGGTAGTCTGATTCCATTGAGTTCCATGGCAATTTGAAGATTCCACCCATAAATTTAAGGGACAAGATGACCACAATAAACTTAAACGAACTTATAAATCATAAAAAGAAAAGTGGCTTTCATTAAAAAAGTCATTAGCAATTTACCAAAAGGTATATTTTTAGTTTTTGTGCATTATACCTGCTTTTCATGAATACTTGAAGAAAGAACTTTACATTGAACATCTGTATCTAATGAAAAATATATTAGGCATCAGCTTTCAATTCTGTACATTTTATAGCTGAGAAAGGTGAGATTCTGATTTTTTTTTTTTTGGCTAAAACTCTTACATAGTTTATAGTTGAAATTTACTGCCTCAAATAAAAAAAATGCAAGACTGAGAAGTTTTTAAAATACTCTTCAGATATAATGTATTTTCCATGCAACAATTAAGAATTATTAAATATTCATTTTAATATGCTATATAAGAAATCAGCTATGTTTTTATGAGATTTTATATTATCTCACTCCTTATTACACTAATATTACCAACAGTACTTAAAATTTTATACCTATACATATAGAGACTACAGTATGAAACAGTTTAATTTAACCGTGGCAAACTGTAAGAATTGGTTATAAAGAACTAATTATAGTTGGGTTATAAAGAACTAATTATAGTTTCTCAGTGAAGTTCATACAAAGCTAAATATTTGTTAAACAGAATTGCATTGTCTTTAATCTCAATGGTGTAGCTAGTTTAAAATGTCAGATGATACACACCAGAAGTAATGGGATCTTTGAATCTGAGAATCATTTCTTCACCCACCCCACCCTTTCAGAGTTTTTGATGTTTCAGAGTTTTCTTTTAGAGAAAGAAAGAGCAAGGAATGGTTATGATTAAATCGTCTTAGAGTACTAACTGGCACCATATTGTAAAGAGTACTGGATTGAAGGTTAATTTAGATTATCCTAAAGTAGAAACGATATTTTTAATTCCCAAGTTCTTAATTGGGAACTTTGATCTACACACCACCAAATCAGCCATGATTGACAATCTGCTCATAGATAAAGTTCAGGAAGCTTGATTACATATTGTAGTTAGTCACTCCCCTTAAAATATTAAGGCTCAATGACATGGAAATAAACATTTGCCTGAAATCTTTTATCAGGCAACTAAAATCAAGACACATGTTTATACAGTGTTTTCCTTTCAGAAATACACTTGCCCTAATTTCCATAAAGGCTTACCTTCCATATTGCTGAAAAAGGATGTTTTCCTTTCAATAAATGACCAATAAATTCCTAAAGATTCCTAATAATCATGTTTAACATTTGACTTCTTGTTATATGCCAGGCATTGTTTTAAGCACTTTATGTGTATTCATAGATTTAAACTCACAAGACTGTGAAAAGGTCCTGTTATACTATTGTATCCGTTTTACGGGTAATAAAACTGAGATGTGTACATTAGTCATCTGCCTAAGGTCACGCAGCACATAGAGAAATCTTTTTTTTTTTTTTAACTCACACAGTCTAGATCCAGATCTATGCTTTAGCCACTGAGCTTGTCTACTTAAATATTTGCTGAAGACCCAAATGATTATTTCCTATAGCAATGGAGTCTCCCTACAAATTGCAGTTGTATTTTTCTCAAAAATACAGAAACTTTTTCAAAAAAAGAAAAGGTTAGTTGAAGATAGTATTGTTAGAAAAATCATCTCTCTCTACTATATAGATTAGAACATGATTTACAGTATCATCAAGGCACATCATGAAATTTGGCTTGATTTACAGAAAAAAGTTTATACATTTTTAATCCATAAATAAGATCCAGATACTGTCAAACTCTACTTCCATCCTCACTGCACCTCTCAATCTCAGTCTATTGCCCCAAGTGGAGAACTCAACGTAACTCATTTGCTATTTTAAATAAAATTATTAATTAAATTAATAATTTAAATTCAATTATTCAGATTTGAAACTGCAATTTGAAGCTTGTGAGGTAGAAAATGATTCATTGTAGCAGAAACCCTACACCAGCACCTGTTCTATACTGATTTACTAGTTTTTACCTTGTATTTATGTCAAAAAAAAAGACAAAGCTTGTTCTTCTGGAAAAATCAGGTAAAAAATGAATCACTAACTGCTCTGAAAGGTGTCAAGTTGTGAACACAAATTATTTAAATTTTTGAACTAGCACAAGATACCACCTTTCCTCAGGAAATTTTATTGACAATACCAAAATATGAAAACCTTTCAGGATAAGTGTCTGGCGAAAGGCTTTAAGGAAAACAAACAAGCAAAAAAAGCTGTTCCAAAGTCGTTAGACAGCAATTATGTTTACCAGCAGTGGTCCTAACAGGTGCTTAATATTTTAATGCTGAAAATATATCATTCTTCTGAAATAAATGAAAACAATGGAAACATTGTATCTTGATCATATTAAACAGAAAACAACTGATTTTTTTAAATGCATGTGGAAATGTCAAAGAAAGGGAAATTTACCATGATGTAAACTGTCATAATTCATTTTCTAAATATAAGTACAATCAATTCAGCACAACTTGATTTGTAATACGTCTTATGATCTATATTAAGTTCCTACATTAACCAAACACATATAAGGAACCAGGATCATTAAGAACGAGGTCAATTTCTTTGATGATTAATAACTATAATCCTCTCTAAAATCATATCCCCATGTTACATAGTGTCGTTAGACAAATACTAATTGAAAATAGAGGCAAACCATCATTCTCAAATGATTATTAAAAAAAAACAAGTGAAATAAATGTGTGTGGTATGCCCATTTCAAAGCCAAGTCAACAATAATCTTCAAAAGTCTATTAACAATCATAAAGTTAGTACATAGTAGGATTTACCTAATCTATTTGAATTATGGGTGGTTTATATAATCTGGGTTTTGGGTTTGTTTTTT